CAAAGTTCTGGGATCACAGGCTTGAGCCACTGTGCCTGGCCATATCTTATATATTAAACCCATTCATTTGAAATATCATATTTTCCATTTCTAGAAGTATTATTTTGTTCATTTTCACATATTATCAATTTTGAGAATCCTCTTATTCTTTAGTCTTATTGGATACTTCTAGTTATTTCATATTATTAATCATATATGTTTTATATTCTATGACTTATCACACTAATATGTGAAGTTTTTGTCAGTTTCATTCTTTTGAGTTTTTATTTTTACTAATCCTTGAACTCAAGTGATCCTACCACTTCAGCCTCCCAAAGTGTTGGAACTGAAGGTGTGAGTCACTATGCCCAACCTGTTTCTACTAATCCTTGTTCATGGTGGCTTGTTTTCTTTCTTGTTTAGTAATTTCTAATTTTGAATGTATATTTCTTAGAGCCTTATCTGTTGAATCTCTAGGAAGCCTGAGTTTAAAAGGTGGTGTTTTTTTTTTCCCCCCAGAGGAGATTTATATCTGCTTCTACTAAGCATTTGTATCTTCTTGTAGTACTGCAAACCCGGAACCATTTTATTCTACATTTTGGCTCAGGATCTGGAATTCATAGAGATTGTATAATTCTTACTGCAAACTCACTATGTGAGTGTGGAATTGTTGTTAGGAATTCTTAGGAGGAATTTATTTCTTTTACTCTAATCTACTTGGGACTAAGACCCAGATAGACATCTTTTATCCCCCCTCTGTGCAACTTCTTTTTTTGGAAACAGGATTTATTGGGAGGACAGAAAAACTCTCACAGTGGGTTGCTTTTTTTTTTTTTTCAATTTCCACTGAGGATCTTGTTCTTTGGAGGTTTGCAGAGAACCTGATTTAGTCCTCTCAGCTTGCTTGGACTTTGTTTCCCACTCCACCCCCCCGCTCCCACCTTGAGTGGCTGGTTAAAACTCAGACACTAGTCTACCATGGGTTGGCAGATTCCCTGGAACAAATACTGGTTCTAGTGCTAATCCTCTGGGTTCATACTCTTTGTCTCCCAACCTTCCCCAGGCTCTGAGGAATTCCACTACCTTTCACTTTCAGCCCTGTACTAAAGACATCGTTTAGTTTATTTGCAGAATAAGCTAATACATGCTAAACTAGGAAGGAATTTTTTTCCCCCAACATCAAGTCCAAAATTTTGTGAAAAGTAGAAGGGAATCAAATTAGTAATCAGAAAGTTGGTTGAAAACACAGAATGGGAGTTTGCAGAATTAGATGACTTAAGGGGAGCTTTTTCAAGGAATGGAAATATAAAATGTTTATGTCACATATTGAAATACTTTTTAAAAAGAGCTTAGTAAGTTTCAACAGTTTCTTTTTCCTTCATCATGATGCTGTATATTTATAAATCATTTTATAGTTTTGTTTATATTAGTATCTGTACATATCATGACAGTCACATTGTAATTCAAGTACATTTTAGTCATGCCTTCTTGAAGATACATTCAGATCACACTGATAGATATTCTGTGTGTTCCTCAAATTTCCTTAACAATACTCTTAGAAACGATATTAGATTGAGTTAATTATACAATATACTTTTATTGATTAAAAACATTTGTACATGTATATTACTTTGTAGTGATCTTTCTATCTTAGATCGAGATTCAAATCCCACATTGGAGATCACTTTTAGTAATCAAAATTACCATATTGACACTGTTTACCTTACACACACACACACACACACACACACACACACACACACACACACACACACTTGCTGACATTTGCTAGATTCTTCAGAGAAGAAAAAGAAAGAAAGAAAAAAACAACAACTAACATTTGTATAGCTAAAAAAACCCTCTTTGAAATTTTCCTTAAGGCAGGCAGACTCAATCTCATCTGACACTATTCACAAATAGTTCTCCTTTTCCATCCTCTCTTTTTCCCTCCCTCCATCTTCTGTCCTCAAAAGAATTTTTAAACATCTACATTTTCCAAGTACTTTGCTTGACAATGGGGATACAATAGTGAAAAAGTAGATATGACCTACATTTTCACTGAACTTACAGCTAATTATGGGAAATAGATAATCACATAAAATTGTAATCCGGTATTATGTGTGCTAATTTAAGGAAAATATAAGTTGATGTGGGAAACACAAGAAAAGCACTAAACTTCAGGGGCCACTGCCATCTTTCTAAATAAAATTATATTTAGCTAAGATTTGATCAGTGTAGGTCAGTGGTTTTCAAAGTATACATCCTCAGAATCATGTGAGAACTTGCTAGAAATGGAAAATTTTCAGGCCTGGGTTGAGGCCCAGAAACCTGTGTTTTTAACAAGCTTTCCAGGTGATTCTGATTCATACTGAGGTTTACCTATTGGTACAGGTATGGCCAGATCAAGAGGGCTAGAAGAGCTGTCCAGCCAGAGGGTCCAGCCTTTGAGACCCCTGGGTAGGAAGACAGAGTATGACACTGATGTGAAATCAGTTCAGTATGCTTGGAGCACAGGGCATGATGAGGTCTGGGTGAGGATTGTGGTGGGCAAGAGACGGGCTGGAGAGGAGAGCACGGAGAAGATCACCTGGGTTTTGTAAGCCACATTAAGTTGTTTTTTAAATTAAATTTTAATTTAAAAATCAAATTTAAAAAATTTTAAATTTGATTTTAAAATTAAAACTTTAATTGACACATAACAGTTGTACATATTTGGGGTACAGAGTGATATTTCTTTTTCTTTTTCTTTTTTTGAGTTGGAGTCTCTGTTTCCCAGACTGGAGTGCAGTGGCCGCTCCCGGCCACTGCAGCCTCAACCTGCTGGGCTCCGGCGATCCTTCCGCCTCAGCTTTCCAAGTAGCTGGAACTACAGGTGTGCGCTACCAGGCCCAGCTAATTTTTTTTTTGATTTATTGTAGAGATGAGGTCTCGCCAAGTTGCCCAGGTGGGTCTCGAACCTGTGGACTCAGGTAATCCACTTACTTCAGCCTCCCAAAGCACGGGATTACAGACTGAGCCACCGAGCCCGGATCAGAGTGATATTTCAATACATATAAACTATATGTAATAATGGAGTTAGGGTCATGAGTATGTCTATCACCTTAAACTTTATTGTTTCTTTGTGTTGGGAACATTCAAAATCCTCTCTTCTGAAAATGCACAATTAATTATCTTTAACCATAGTCGTTCTTACTATAGAAAACCAGACCATATTTCTCCTATGTAGCTGTAATTTTGTATCCATTAGCCAACCTTCTCTGTCCTCTTCTCCCTCCCTTACCCCAGCCTCTAATAACCATAATTCTACTCTGTACTTTGATGGGCTACATTAAATTTTTGTATTTCATTTATCGTAAATATTTACAGACAGTCCCTAACTTGCGGTGATTCGACTTAACAATTTTTCGACTTTACAATGGTATGAAACTGTTGTAATTTTGACATATTTCAAATTTTGAATCTTGACCTTTTGCCAGGTACAAGAGATAGTGATACAAGAGATAGTCAACCCTTTGCTATAAAATGGGCTTTGTTTGTATGATTTTGGCCAGTTGTAGGCTAATGTAAGTGTTCTGAGCATGTTTAAGGTGGGCTGGGCTAAGCCATGATGTTTGGTAGGTAAGGTGTATTCAAAGCCTTTTCAACTTCCAAGATTTTCAATTTATGATGAGTTTATTAGGATGTAACCCCATTGGAAGTTGAGTATCTATCTGTATTTGTATATCAGTCTCTTCAAATAGAATGTGAATATACATGTGCCAGGATATTTTTATACCTCAGAACATCTTTTGACTATTCTTGGCATGCAATTGGTGTTTAATAAATACATGCTATTTGTATTTGAGTAAACTTTTTTTTTTTTTTTTTGGGTTGGAGTCTCACTCTGTCGCCCAGACTGGAGTGCAGTGGCCGCCCGGCCACCGCAGCCTCGACCTGCTGGGCTCCGGCGATCCTTCCACCTCAGCCTTCCAAGTAGCCGGAATTACAGGCATACGCTACTACGCCTGGCTGATTTTTTGATTTATTGTAGAGATGAAGTCTCACTGCCCAGGCGGGTCTTGAACCCGCAGACTCAGGCAGTCTACTCACCTTAGCTTCCCAAAGGCGCGGGATTACAGGCTGAGCCACCGAGCCCAGCTTATTTGAGTAAACTTATTGGATAGTCACAAAAGCCTTGTGGGGTAGGCACTGCTACTTTTATTTTATACTTTAGGATAACCAAGGGTAAAAGAAGGTAAGTGGTTTACTAACATAACAAGATAAAATGGCTATTTAGAAGGAGAGGTTTTTTATAAACCCAAGCCCTTGGATTTTAATTTTTGAATCGCTCCTTCATTCAACTCTACCTTTTTTGTTGGGGAGCGTTGAGAGTACAGAAAATATATATGAGGGGGGACCCAAAAAAAACCTGTCTTGGAAGAAGGGCCCCTTGTAGTAAAGGTTTCCCTGCTAGGTAAGTGTTCTAGGTACCCACTGACATCAGTGTGCCAGCTAGCGTTCTTGTAAGAGGCTGTGTTTGGCTTTGGTGAAAATTTTTTTGGAGGTTCTTTCAATGCATTTGCCCATTTCATGATGGGTGATTTATGAATGCACCTGCCTACACCGCACAGCAGTATTTTTGACCAGAAGCAGCATGACTCCATGCCCCACCCTCTCTATTTACCTGATCTTGTCTTGAATAACTTTTTTTTGTTTCCCTGGATGAAAAATGTCCTCCAAGCAAAATAATTTTGTGGATGTATAAGAGGCGAAACAAAAAACAGTAGAAGCACTAAAAGGTATCAAAATTAATGAGTTCAAAAACTGTTCTGAACAGTGGAAAAAGCATCTCGATAGGTGTATTGCATGAAATGAAGAGTACTTTGAAGGTGACTGAAGTTTAAACATGTAAGAATAAATACACAATTGTTTATAAATTCCTGTTTTTTTGGGGTCCCTTCTCATACGAATATACAAAATTACAGAATTTTTTAACTTGCAGGCATTCCAAATGAAATTGTGCTTTCTTTTTCTTTTTTCAGACAGAAAAGGGGAGTGCACTTCATGAAGCAGCTTTGTTTGGAAAGGTGGATGTTGTCCGAATTCTGTTGGAAACAGGTAACTGTCTTGATTCCCCATGGTGCTCATCCTGCCAAACACCATTTCTGTTTTGGCAGGAGACAAAGGAAAATGACACAATTTTCATCACAAGTTACCCTCCTTGCCTTCACTCGAAATTGCAGATATGTATTCATATTATGTAGAATTGAGCTTTAGTGTTTAGATAAAAATTGATATAAATGTGTGCCTTCTTTTATGCAATAGAAGCTTTAGTAAAAAAAAGAACTGTTGGAAATTACTATTTTGTACATTTAAGTCACATTTAAATACACTAGAGAAGCTATCTAAGGGAAAAGGAGATCTCTCACTCCTGTAAGAGTAAGAAATTGACTCCTGAGAAGTTACGACAATTGCTTGGTTTATTAAAGCATGGAATATGTTCCTAGGTTGTTATGTTGTCAACTATGGTAAATGGAGATTTAAGTTCCCTCTCCTTAGGGTAAATTAACCTTGTTACTTCATCAGCTGAGTAGCTGTTGTTTATACTACTATTGTTTATGCTACAGTGACTTATTTCAAAGGGAACCTTTTAAAGGGTATGCTTTGAAGGAACAATAAAGTAGGCTTATTTATCTTCATATGTATATTCCAATTGAGATGAAATAAAATCAGAACTGAGGTCAGATTTTTTAAAAAATCAAATGGCACGGGTACAAATTCATACTTTTAAGCAGTAGATGTGAGTTTTTCATGTTATAGACTATAATGTGTTTCTTTTCCTCTGTAAAACAATGAAATGAAAAATATTGGCACACTACTGTATTGTGATTGTGCTTGTGCATAGTTAAAATTTCATGTATATTAAACTTTGGCATGCAGTGCAGTAGTACAATAAATTATTTGAGACAACCAACTAAATATGTGCTGGTCACACATCCCTATACAAATTAAGCATGTGTTCAATAATCTTATGAGGAGTTAATATTTGGGACCAGATCCTATAAGTTGACTTTGTTTGTTAGTTGTTTGGAGAGTTCACACACTTTTTAGGGCAGTGAAAGCTACTTGCTACCTTAAAATAAGTTCTTTAGTATAATACATACTTCAGAACTAAAATAATAACAGATATTTTAGTTACACACTTCAATAAGTTTGTTTGCCTGGTAGATGGCTAGTACAACTGACACTGAAAATAATCTTGCATAAATAAATATCGAGAAGTATTTGATTTTGTATTTGGACAAATGCTATTTGGACAATAATTAAAAATAAACATGCTTTAAAACTTTTGTGAATATACAGTGCTTTAAGACTATTCTTATGTTACATGATACATGATTACCATTTGTTAATTTTTTTTTTTTTTTTGAGTTGGAGTCTCACTCTGTCGCCCAGGCTGGAGTACAGTGGCACACTCACAGCCACCCCAGTATCTACCTGCTGGGCTTCGGCAATCCTTCTGCCTCAGCCTTCTAAGTAGCCGGAACTATAGGCATGAGCTACCACGTCCGGCTAGTTTTTGATTTATTGTAGAGGCCAATCCACTTGCCTTGGCCTCCCAAGGTGCTGGGGATTGCAGGTTGAGCCACAGAGCACAGCCTATTAAATATTTTTAGGATACTACATAGAATATATAAATCACATGGCCATTATAACTTAGAAGTTCACATTCTAGATCAAGTATATTTTTCAGTTTGAGTGTGTGCTGCTTAGTTAAGTAGCCACAACCCAAAAGGCATCATAAGGTCCCGAAAAGCAGTTTTAATGATTGGGTCAGCATCTTTTAAGACTTAATTTATTATCATGAATGTTACTAATCTTTGGTAGCAGTAGGCTCCCACATTCTTTCTTGCTAAAATTTTATGAGTGAGTGTGTGTGTGTGTAGAACTTAAATTTTTAAAAGCCACCTTCAGTGCTTGGTCTATATATATTTGAAATTGAGAAGTTAGGTATTGGTAGTATCTTCTGAGGAGGCTCCAGTTATGTACATTTAGTGGTTTTTTCTTTTTCTTTCAGGAATTGATGCCAACATAAAGGATAGCTTAGGTAGAACTGTCTTAGACATTCTGAAGGAACATCCATCTCAGAAGTCTCTCCAGATTGCAACACTCTTACAAGGTAAACAGGATTGAATGATAGATGAGTTTGCCTTAAAGTCAAGATAAATCAAAGCAGTTATGGTTTTCTTTTGGGTTTTGAGTTAGTGCTTACTTTGGAAAACGAACTTATTTTCATTTTTTCTTGTGGACCTTTGAACTAAATAATACTTTAAAAACTATTTTATTTATGTTTTTCAACTACTCAATACAGTATTTTTAAAAGTTAAAATGTTCACTTACTTGATACTAAAAAATCTTTAAAAAACCATCTATTAAACATGTGCTTATGAGCTTGAAATCAATAGGGCTATAAAGTAGTGATGATAAAGTGTTACCTTACATTTGAATAATAGTTTGAGTTTCAGGGATTTGATATTATCTTGTCTGATTTCTGTGATTCTATGAAGTAGATAAGTCAGATATTATTCTTCTTGTACATAAGGGAGACTGAAGCTCTGAGATTAAGTGATTTGCACATATTCATATATCCTAGTTTAAGTGGTAGCACTTATGGACAAATGCTGGATTGACAATAATAACAATTTTTTTTTAACAGAAAGAACACAGATTATTTTCTTCCTAATCCAGTGTTACATGATAATTCAGTCTTGCCAGTCTTGGGTTTTTTTTTTGTTTTTTTTTCTAATGAAGGTTATATAAGTACATTTGTAGTTTGTGGCAGTCATTAGTTCTGTGGGAGGTCTAGGTACTACTTTTTATATGCCGAATTTCATACCCATCTGATCTAAAACTTCCATGAAGAATTTAGATTTAAATGCTTTCCCTATGTGTTGATTAAGCTAGACATGTAGCATGCTGCTGTAAGACTCCAGATGTTCTTTCTTTCCTTTCTAGTTAGCTCTACACTGGTCAGCAGTGATGATCCCCTACAGTTGTTACAAATTCCTTGCAAGGATAGCAGAAGAGGGAGGTGGGTTAGGTTTCATTATAACTATTCGCATTAGTTGGGAAGCTGAAGAACAAGGTTGTTTTGCAGGGAGATAAATGAATTATATTCAAGTCAGGAAGGAGACACATAGATACAACAAAGGCCAAAGAGGGTTAAAAAGAGTAGATGTACTACACAAGGTCATTATGCTCATTTCTCGATTTCTAAAACATTTCAGGGAAGTTCAGGACCCCTATGCTTTTCTTGTCAAATTGCAAGTCATGTATACAGAGATGAATCAAGAGAAGAATCCCAGCATGGGTTTTTATATAAATTCAAATTAAAAACAAGTATAATAAAAGCTGAAAAACAAGAGTGGCACAAATCATTTTTATCAGTCTTCCTCCTCTGGACACTTTGTATCTTATATTGGACTTTTGTCTCTAACAACATTTTTAAAAATTTGAAGCATATGCATAATACATCTTTTGGGAGAAGCACAATAAATATCATCCACTAAAAAGGGGACATGACATAACTATAGATAAAAAAACATACTGCATTGGTTTAATTTACAGGAAATGTTTTTATATAGAACTAACTATCTTTGCTTTCTTAAATGATCAAAATTCATTGGGTATGTAAATTTGTGATAGGGCATATGGGACATCTTTGAATTTTTCTGGTTATTGGCAGATTTCAGAATGTGAGCACATTATCTATTTACTTGGCATTCCTAGATTTAAAATCACTGGTGCATTTTAAATCTAATGAAAAAGTTTGTTATGAAAATAAAGCCATTTTATAGTAGATAAAATTACTATTCGATTGACATTGCCTGGTTCAAAATTTTGAGGATAGAATCTCATAGGTTGCTTTCTTTTCCTAGTAGAACTTGGCTAGTAGAAATCATTTGAGTGGTATGAGGACACATTGATTGGCATGAGAGTACAAATTTTCTTAATTAGATTTTAAGAAAAAGTTTCTGTCTGAAAAAAGTACAAGCAAAAGGTCACTATGAAAGGGATCTTGTTGATTTAATTCTTTATATGGAGGCTACAATTTAGCCACTTGGAGGCTGAATACTTTTGGCAGAAAGCAGAGATGTTTTGTTTCTTTCCCATATTTTTGGCCCACACAGTGTTTGCATAAAAATTGAATTCACTGTCAACATTTGAAACTCTAGAATTTCTGCTAAAACTCTGGAGTTTTGGCTTCTCAAGAAAAGTAAGGGTTTTCATTTTACTTCAGGGCTGAACTTTATTTTAATTTTTTTTATTTTTTCAGTTTACTTAAAAAAATTTTAGAATTGTGGGCTACATGTGAGGATTTACTGCATACATAAGTTGCATGCCGGTGATGTTTGGGTTTCTAGCAAGCCCTTTCTCCCCCAGTAGTGAACATAACACCCACTGGGTGCTTATGTACCCAGTATTTGTTGTTCCTGCTCCTGTATCCACTGTTTAGGGCCCGCTTATGAATTAGAACATGAGATACTCAGTTTTTTGTTTCTGTGATAGTTCACTTAGAAAGATGCTGCATCCATGTTGCTGCAAAGGACATGATCTTGTTCTTTAGGACTGGGTATTTGTACAACATTTTCTTTATCCATATACTTTCAGTGGGCATCTGAGTTGGTTCCATGTTTTTGCTATTGTGAATAGTGCAGCAGTAAACATATGTGTGCAGGTGTCTTTTTGGTACAGCAATCTATGTTCCTGTGGGTATATTCCCAGAAGTGGGATTGCTGGGTCATATGATGGCTCAATTTTTAGCTTTTTGAGAAAATGCCCCACTTTTTTCCACAAAGATTGCACTAGTTTACATTCCTAACAACAGTGTAGATCATTCCCTTTTCTCTGCAGCCTCATCCACACCTCTTGTTTTTTGTCTTTTTAATGATAGGTATCCTCCTCATGTGAGGTGGTTTCTTATTGTACATTTGATTTGCGTTTCTCTGATGGTTAGTGAAGCTGAGCATTTTTCATATATTTGTTGACTGCTTGTATGTCCTCCTTTGAGAAGTATCTGTTCATGTCCTATGCATACTTTTTAATGGGGTTGTTTGTTTTTTCCTGTCAATTTGTCTGAGTTCCTTATAGGCCTTAGGGCTGAACTTCAGATGAGTCATCGGCTCTCTGGTTAAACATATTCTTTGAGGGTGAATATTAGTTGACATTAATCCCCGCATTCAGATGCTGTTTTCCTTATGGTTAAGAGAAAAATGGTATATTTTGTTGTTCTGTGTCTGTCTAGCCTCTCCATTAGTTAGCTATATAAACACAGCCAAGCTCATAATCCTCATCTTTTGTTATTTTTAAAACAGAGATAGTAATGGTGCATGAGTCATAGTTTTGTAAAGATTGGGTGAATGAATTTATATCAGATACTTAGAATAATGCTGGGCACATAGTAAGCAATATTTAAGTTTTAGCTGCCATTCCTGTTTTATTATGTCTATCCAAATTGGAAAAATGAAAGACAGTTATTTCAAGAATAATGGGCCATTATTTCAAGAATAATGGGAATGAACATTATTTCTTTGTGGAAATACTGTTTAGTATGCAAATTATGCTTATCTTGCATGATTACAATACCATTATAAAATAAACTTACCCTGTTTCGTTCATTTATGTTACCTGATTTTGATATCCATTTGAATTTGACATTCTTGTTTTAGGGACTGAGTCTGTTCAAAGAATTTTTTAGAGTTTTAAATCTTCAGATAGAAAATAATTAAGAAGACCAAGTTATTGTATCTTCAACAGGTGAATTTGTTTTTAAGGAAAGAATGTGGTAAGTTTAGTTTTCAGAAGAGGTTCAGGAGTTTCTCCCAAAGTATATGATTTCTTTTTTTAATTAAAAACTCTAAGTCATCATGAAGTCCTTTTGGTTTGTTTTTTTGAAAAAATTTTTTTAAACTTAGGATATACTTAGGATACGAGAAAATAAATGAAACATGGATCACAAGAAATAAAACATAAAGTTTGATTATTGATTTTAAAATAAATGAATTCAAGTATGTAATCTCAAAAATGTATATACACAGAATATTTAGAAGGCATGGGAAGATCAACTGCCCTTGAAGAGCCTGTGCAGGAAGAGACAACACAAGAAACACACATTTTCTCTCCTGTTGAGTCTCCTTCCCAAAAGACCAAAAGTGAGTAGCTAATTATAAAGCCCTTGAAACTATACTAGACTTTTATATACAAGTTTGTCCTGTATACATAAAAAGGCTACCAGTTGTGGAAATTTCAAGTCTAAACAGTTATATATCTGATATCTTATATTTTATCAGTCTTTTCAGTCAATATTTATAAATCTCCAGTTATTTTATTCTCAGCTGTTCTCAGCCCTGAAATACAGTAATGAGCAAAGCAGAAAACAATGGGCACTGTAATGAAGTTTATATAGAGTAGATATTGTGTAGATTTTGTTCTTAAATGTGTCTTTTCCAGCTTTATTGAGGCATACTTAACAAATAAAAGTTGTATATATTTATAGTGGGCAGCTTGATGTTTTAACATACATTGTGAATGTATATGTTTGATATACATTGTGAAATGATTGCTACAAGGAAGTGATTAACATATTCACCACCTCATGTAGTTACAATTGTTTCATTCTGGTGAAGAGAACATGTAAGAATAGTTCTCTTAGCAAATTTCAAGTGTTCAATACAGTATTATTAGCTATAGTCACATCTGCTGCACATTAACTCTTGAGAATTTGTTCGTCCTCCATAGCTGAACCTTTGTACCTTTTGATCAACACCTCTTCATTTCCTCTAGCTCCTAGCTCCTGGCAACTACCATTCTACTCTCTGTTTTTATGAGCTTGACTTCTTTAGATTCCACATATGAGACCATGCTGTATTTGTCTTTCTGTTTCTGGCTCGTTTCACTTAGTATAATGTCCTTCAAGTTCATCTATGTTTTCATAAATGACAGGAACTCCCTCTTTCTTGAGGCTGAATAATAGTCCACTGTGGGTATGTAGACACACACACTGCATTTTCTTTATATATTCATCTGACAATGACCAGTTACTGCAATGAACAGGAGGGTACGGATATCTCTTCAACATACTGTTTTTATTTCCTTTTAATAAGTACCCAGAAGTGGGATTGCTGTATCATATGGTAGTTTCATTTTAATTTTTTGAGGAACCTCCAGTGGCTTTTATGATGACTGAACCATTTTACATTCCCACTGACAGTGTACAGGGTTCCCCTCTCCACATCCTTACTCTACTTCTCTTATCTTTTTGATAATAGTCATTCTATCAGATGTGAGGTGGTACCTCATTGTGAATTTGATTTACATTTTTCTGATGATTAGTGATGTTGAACACCTTTTTATGTACAGTTAGCCGTTTGTATGGTTTTTTTGGGAGAAATATCTATTCTGTTTCCTAGTCCATGTGTAAATTGGGTTATTTGCATTTTTGCTGTTGAGTTTCTTGTAGATTTTGGATATTAACTCCTATCAGATCAATGGTTTGCAAATGTTTTCTCCCATTCCATAACTTGCCTTTTCGCTCTACTGATAGTTCTGTTGCTGTGCAGAAAAAGCTTTTTATCTTGATGCAGTCTCACTTGCTCATTTTTGCCTTTGTTTGTACCCCTAAAATCATTGTCTAGACCAAAGACGAGTTTTTTACCCTGTTTTCTTTTAGCAGTTTTATAGTTTCAGGTCTTTTGTTTAAGACTTTAGTTCATTTGGGTGATTCTTATATGTGATGTGAGATAAAGAACACACTTCATTCTTTTGCATGTAGATATCTGGCTTTCCTAACACTATTTATTGAGTAGATTATCTTTTCCATATAGTGTGTTCTTGGCATCCTTGTCAAAGAGCTACAGCAATCAAAACAGTGTGGTATTGGCATAAAAATTGACATATAGATCAATGAAACAGAATAAAGAGTCCAGAAATAAGTTCATGCATTTATATAAAACTGGTCTTAAATGTGTTTTTAAGTTAGAATTAAAATTTTTTGTTTGTTTTTATTTCCTCTCTTATTTTAATAGCTTTAGGAGGTACAGATAGTTTTTGGATACATGGTTACATTGTATAGTGGTGAAGAGGTCTGGGCTTTAAATGTACCAGCTATCCCACCTGTGCACATTGCCCCTGATAGATGCCTCAGCTACTTTCCCTCTTCTGTTTTCTGAGTCTCCAGTGTCCATTATACCATTGTCTATGTTATTGCAGATCCTTGGTTTAGCTTCCACTTGTAAATGAGAAAATGTGTTATTTGACTTTCTGTTCCTAGTTTAATTCACTAGGATGATGTTCTCCAAGTTCATTCATGTTGCTCCAAAAGACATGATTTTATTCTTTTTGATGGCTGAATAGTATTCCATTGTGTGTGTGTGTGTGTGTGTGTGTGTGTGTGTGTATGTGACATTTTTATTATCCATTGATCAATTGATAGACATTTAGATTGATTACAGATCTTTGCAGAATTGTGCTGCAATGAACTTGCAAATGCAAGTCTTTTTTGTATAATGAGCTCTGTTCATTTGGATGGATACTTAATAGTGGGATTGATAGATCAAATGGTACATTTACTTTTAATTTTTTGAGAATCTCCTTATTGATTTCCAGGTTGTACTAATTTGAACTTCTGCCAACAGTATATAAGCATGCCTGTTTCACTGCGTCTGCACCAGCATCTATTGTTTTTTGATTTTTTTAATGATGGCCATTCTGACTGGTGTAAGGTGGTATCTCTGTGGTTTTAATTTGCATTTCGCTGATGATTGGTGGTATTGAACATTTTTTCATGTGTTTGTTGGCCATTTACATATCTTTTTTCAAGTGATGTCTGTTCATGTCATTTGCTCACTTTTTAATGGGTCATTTGTTTTTTTCTTATTGATTTGTTTGAGCTCCTTGTAGATTCTGGATATTAGTCCTTTGTCAGATACATACTTTATCTTCTTCCATTCTGTAGGTGGCTGATTTGCTCTGTTTATTATATCTTTTGAAGTGCAGAAGCTTTTCAGTTTAATTAAGTTCCACTTACTTATATTTATTTTTGTTTTTGTCATTTTTGCTTTGGGGTTTAAGCTAAAGAATTTAATGATTTGCCTAGGCTGATATCCAGAACAGTTTTTGCTAGGTTTTCTTCTAGGATTTTTATGGTTCCAGATCTGCCATTTAAGTCTTTAATCCATCTTGAGTTAATTTTTGTATATGGGGAGAAATAGGGATCAAGTTTCATTTGTCTGCAGGTAGCTAACCAATTTTCCCAGCACCATTTGTAGACTAGGGTGTCCTTTCCCCGTGTGTGTTTTTATTTGCTTTGTCAAAGATAAGATGGTTTTCAGTATTTGGGTTTATTTCCAAATACTCTATTAGGTTCCATTGGTCCTCGTGTCTGTTCTTGTACCAGTACCATGCTGTTTTGGTTATTACAGCCTTGTAATATAATTTGAAGTCAGACAAGGTGATGCCTCCAGCTTTGTAATTTTTGCTTAGGACTGTTTTGACTGTTCTTGCTCTTTTTTGGTTCCATATGAATTATAGGATGTTTTTTTCTAATTCTGTGAAAAATGACTTTGATAATTTGATAGGGATTGCATTGAACCTGTAGATTACTTTGGGTAATATGGTCATTTTAACCATGTTGATTCTTTCAATCCATGAGCAGGGGATTTTTCTTCATTTGTTTGTGTCTTCTGTAGTTCCTTTCACAGGGTTTTGTAGTTCTTGTAGAGATCATTCATCTCCTTGGTTAAATATAATCCTAGATATTTTAGCTTTTTGGCTATGATTGTAAATGGAATCGAGTTCTTGATTTGGTTCTCAGGTTGGTTGCTATTGATGTATTGCAGTGTTACTGATTTGTGTGAGTTGATTTCATATTCTGAAACTTTACTGAATTCATTCATCAAGGTCAGGAGTCTTTTGGAGGAATCTTTAGGATTCTCTAGGTATAAGGTCATATTGTTGGCATACAGAAGTAATTTGATTTCTCCTTTTCCAATGTGGTTACACTTTATTTCTTTCTCTTGCCTGATTGTTCTGGCTGGCACTTCCAGTGCTATGTTAAATGGGAGAGGTGAAAGTGGGCATCCTTGCGTTGTTCCAGTTCTGAAGGGGAATGCCTTCAACTCTGCTCTGTTCAGGATGATATTGGCTGTGTGTTTGTTGTAGATGATTTTTTTAATTGGAGGAATGCTTTTTTTTGTTGAGAGTTTTTATTATGAAGGGATGCTGGATTTTGTCAAATACTTTCTCTGCATCCATGGAAATGATCATACGATTTTTGTTTTAAATTCTGTTTATGTGGTGGATTCTATTTATTGACTTGTGTACGTTGAACTATTCCTGCATCTCTGGGATAAATCCACTTGATCATGGAGGATTCTTTTTTTTAATGTGCTGTTGAATTCAGTTTGCTAATATTTTGTTGAAGATTTTTGTGTCTGTATTTATCAGGGATATTGGTCTGTAGTTTTTTGTTTTGTTTTGTTTTGCTGTGTCTTTTCCTGGTTTTAGTATAAGGGTGATACCGGCTTCATCGGGTGAGTTAGGGAGGATTTCTTCCTCTTCAGTCTTATGGAATAGCTTCAGTAAAAATTGGTATCAGTTCTTCTTGAAATTGGCAGAATTTGGCTGTGAGGGCCTAAGGTCCTGGGCTTTTTTTTTATGGGGAGATTTCTGATTACTGTTTCAATCTCACTTCTCATTATTGGTCTGTTTGGGGATTCTTTTTCTTCCTGATTCAAGGTTGGGAGTTTATGTATTTCCAAGAATTTATTCATTTCCTCTAGATTGTCTAACTGCATCATTTTTGATTGAGCTAATTTGAATCATCTCTGTTTGTTTCTTAATTAATCTTGCTAGTGGTCTCTCAATTTTATTTTTTCCAAGAACCAACTTTTTGTTTCATTGATTCTTTATATTGTTGTTTTGTTTTCCATTTCATTTAGTTCTGCTCTGATCTTCATTATTTCTTTTCTACTGCTAGCTTTGGGTTTCATTTCTCCATATTTTTCTCATTCCTTGAGGTGTGACATGAATTTGTCATCATATGATCTTTCAATGTTATTGATGTAGGCCGTAGCCCTATAAATTTTCCTCTAAGTACTGCTTTGGCCATATCCCAGAGATTTTCATAACTTTTTCCATTGTTGTCATTTATTTTCAAGCATTTTTAAATTTCCATCTTAGGATTTCATTGTTGGCCCAAGGATCATTCAGGAGCAGATTGTTTAACTTCCATGGTTTTGTTTGGTTTTGTGAGTTCTTCTTAGAGTTAATTTCTAGTTTTATTTCACTGTGGTCTGAGAAGGTGCTTGATACAATTTTAAGTTTTTAAAAAATTTATTGAGACTTAATTTGTGGCCTATCATATGGTCTATATTGGAGGATGTTCCATGTACTGATAAGAAAAAATGCATATTCTGTAGTTTTTGGGTAGAATATTCTGTAGATATCTGTTAATGCCATTGCTCTAGGGTACAGTTTAACCCCAATGTTTCTTTATTGACTTTCTGCCTTGATGATCTATCTATTGCTGTTAGTAGAGTGTCGAAGTGTCCCACTGTTTTTGTTGCTGTCTCTCTCTTTTCTTAGGTCTACATGAATTTGTTGAAAAACTTGGAGCTCTAGCGTTAGGTACATATATATTTAAAATTGTTAAAACTTCTGCCGGGTGCAGTGGCTCAAACCTGTAATCCCAGCACAGGGAGGTGGAGGTGAGAGGATTGCCTGAGTCCAGGGGTTCGACACCAGCCTGGGCAACTTGGTGAGACATCATCTCTACAATAAACCACAAAATTAGTCAGGCATGGTGGCGTGTGCCTATAGCTCCAGCTACTTGGAAGGCTGAGGCGGAAGGATCACCTGAGCCATGCATGTTGAGGCTGCAGTGGCCCTGACAACAGAGTGAGACTCTGACTCTAAATAAATAAATAATGAAAGAATGAATGAATGAATGTTGTATCTTTTTGTTGGACTGATTCCTTTGTCATTGTATAATAGCCATCTTTGTCATTTTTTTACTGTTGTTATTTTAAAGTCTATTTTATCTGACGTGAAAATGACTACTCCTGCTCATTTTTGGTTTCTATTTGCATGGAATATTTTTTCCAACTCCTTGAGTCTATAGGAGTCTTCGTGAGTTAAGTGGGTCTCTTGAAAGGAGCACATATTTGGATTGTGTATTTTTATTCAATCTGCTAGTCTGGTCTTTTTAGTGGGACGTGGAGACCATTTACATTTAGAGTTAATAATGATATGGAAGTATCATTCATATATATGTATTATTGATATATATATAGTATATATATTGATGTATATATATAGATAGATTGTATATATATTGATACATACATATATATGTATCATTCATCATAATGGTTGTTATCTGGTTGCTTTAATTGTTTATTTTTTCTATTGTGTTGATGTTCCATAAGCCTGTGAACTTTATGATTTCCAGTGTTTTTCTTCTGGTATATTTTGACCTTTTGTTTCAGTATTTAGGACTTTTTTGAATATTTGTTATAACTAGCTGGTCTTGAGGGGACACGTTCCCTCAGTGTTTGCTTGTCTGTAAATGACTTCATTTCTCTTTTATTTATGAAACTTAGTTTTGCAGGATACAAAATCTTTGGCTACCTGTTACTCTGTTTAAGGAGATTGAAGATGGGCCCCAATCTCTTCTGGTTTGTAGGTTTTCTTCTGAAAAGTCTACTTTTAGTCTGATAGGTTTACTTTTGTAAGTTTTTTGATGCTTTTGTCTTACTGCTTTTAAAATCTTTCCTTCACATTAGCATAACCTGATGATATGTGCCTTGGGAATGATCTATTTAGCAACGAATCATCTGAGGGTTTTTTGGCTTCTTGTATCTGAATGTTTTAACTCTCTGGCAAGGCCAAGGAAGTCTTCCTCCATTAGTTCCTTAAAAAGGTTTTCCAAGCCTATTTTTTCTTCTTCCTCAAAAACACCTGTGATTCTTAGGTTTGACCCTTTTACACAATCTCATATTTCTTGGTGACTTTGTTTCTCTTGGTTATTTTTTCTGTATTGTTGTCTGATTGGATTAATTCAAAGGCCTTGTCATCATGTTCTGGGATCTTTTCTTCTACTTGTTCTAGTCTGCTTTTAAAACCTTCTTCTGCATTTTATATTTCCTAAATGAGTCTTTAATTTCCAGAAGTTCAGCTTTTTTGGGGGGAGGGTTGTCTCTATCTCTTTGTAGAATTTTTTATTCATGTACTGAATTAAAAAAAAAATTCTTTATGTTGATTTTTAACTATTTCCTGAATATCATTGAGCAGTTTTATAATCAACATTTTCATTTATATCTCTGGAATTTCAGACTTCATTTTGTTTAAAGTCCATTACTGAAGAGTTAGTGTAATCTTTTGGAGGTGTTTAAGAACTCTGGTTTTTCATATTGTTGGGATTATTTTTCTGGTTCCTCTTCATTGAAGTAGACTATTTCTTCTTATTTAAGGTTGTCAGAGGCTGCCGTAGGCCATGCTGGGTTCCCTTGATTATATGTAGCCTTAATGTAGTTAGTTTCTCCATTGCCAGCTGTGGTTGTGGTGTGCTGGGTACCTGTCCCACCTTAAGGCATCCTGAGTGGGCGGGGTGGCTGTGATAGTAGTGTTAGCTGGGGTCTTGGATCAGACCTTCCCCCAAACTGAGCTATTATATTAGATATAATGAACTGTGCCAGTTGACCTTCTGCTAGGAGGTAATACTTGCAAGAGCAAGCCAGCTACAATGGTGGCCATGGGCTTTCTGCATAGCCTGTGTTGCCCCACAGGAGGTACACAGCTGATCTAGGCAGTGGGCAAGGCTGGGGAATTTTCCAAGCTCTCTGTCTGAAGCCTTCAAGGGGGATACAGGAAGAAGTGCTCCAGCTCCCTGCCTGTGTGTACTCTTGGCTACCCCAGTGGGGATTGGAAAGTAGTCCCCACCTACTGGGGTAACGTTTGCTGTGTTGTACAGAGGCTACACAAAAGAGTTTACATAGGGAAGGAGAGGTTGCTATGGTATGGAGTCCCACCCAGCTACCTCACCTTAACCTCAGGCAACAGTCTGCTTTTAGAATATCCAAGTGCAGTGGTCCTCATGTGTTCTCAGGAGCAGTCTGCCATGGTGGAATTTGCCCTTGGTGCCTTTTCCCTCTCAGTCTGGCTAGAAAGCAGCCTGTAGCCAGGATTGAGCACCCAGGAAGTGGCGGCTCTATCCATTTAGGACTTCTTTCCCTCACCACTCCAGGTTGGTTTTGGCAGAGAATGACTGTGTATCCAGGCAGTTTTCTGTGAAGGGCTGGAGTCCCTCGAGGCTCAGGGGGACTTCCAAGTCTGTGGCAGGAGCATAGAACTCCTGAATTTCCCTTTCACCTCTCCAGAGGCTGCTTGTGGTTTGTGTGGTAATCCAGGCAAGTCTGGCTAGTTCCAACCCAGGCCTATTGATTTTTCTCTTCTTTGCAATCTGTGCATATTATCTTTTTTTTTTGGTGGTTTGTAGGGCGTGCTGGTGGTCCAGTTCCTCTCTGAGTGTGAGGAAGTCTCTCTATTTTGGTTTACTCCATGGGAGAAACACATTCTATCTGCTTCTTGTCGACCATCTTAATCCTAAAATTTGAAGATTATAACTGCTAGAAATTTTTTTTTCAGAGTAAATTATAGGTATGAAGTACTGTTCTGAGATTGTCTAGAAAAGTACATATTTTTGCATATAGTAGACAAAATATTCATGTTTGGTGGGTGATGAATATTATTTATATGTTTCTTCTGTACTTTTCCTTTATATCATATATCATAATTCTAATGTATTAATTACCTATATAATTATTTGTTTAAATAAGTTTTACTGTTTTGTTTGTTGAACCTAGGAAGTAGGCTTTCAGTGTCATTCAAATTTGTTAATGAATTGTTGAATGAATTCTGTCAGTGCAATAAAATGACAAGAGAAGAGTATTTAAATTAAATTCTATAATACTTGAAGCTTTAAGAATTGTAATTTCGGTTTTTTTTAATGTATCACATATACATAAACTTTGATATTGATTTCTGTTTTGAAAAAGAATAAAAATAGACAAAATTATAATCTATTTTGTCAGCTGATGTGCTAATTATAGTTGAGCATCTTGTTTTCAGCAGAATACTTTCTGACTGTAGATTTTGATTTAAAAAATTTAAATTTAATATTAAAATTTTTGTTTTAGAAATAGAGTTTCTATCTGTCCCCTAGGCTGGAGTGTAGTGGTTCAGTCATAGCTCACTGTAGGTCCTCAGCTTCCTAAGTAGCTTGGACTGCACACCTGGCTTTTTTTTTTTTTTTTTTTTTTTTTAATTTTGTAGAGGCAATGTCTCGCTATGGTGATCAGTCTGTCTTGAACTCTTGGCCTCAAGTGATCCTACCACCTTGGCCTCCCAAAGTGCTGAGATTACAGGTGTGAGCCACTGTGCCCAGCCAGACTACTTAATCTTGCTTGTTATATTTTGACTTGTATCACCCATAGCAGTCATATTTTTATTACTTAACATTAAGTTTTAGTAATAGCCTTTCTTGAAACTTCTGAAACAGTTATTCTCATTTTATAGGTGAAACCGTGACTGGAGAATTATCGAAACTCTTGGATGAAATAAAACTCTGCCAAGAAAAGGATTATTCTTTTGAGGATTTGTGCCACACAATATCAGACCACTACTTAGATAATTTGAGCAAGATTTCAGAGGAAGAACTTGGGAAAAATGGAAGCCAGAGTGTAGTAAGTAAGGGGAGAAATGAAGACAATGCATCTGTCTTTGCCAGTTCAGTATGTACACCTAGGAGACATGGGATTTGGTACTTTATCAGATTCTGCCAATATCAGATGTCAATCACTCTTTTTCCTTGATGTTCATGTTTATTCTAACTGCATGTGTAGGAGAAGTAGTGCTTTGATAAATTACTTATAGTTTGTGATTGTCTTTCTACTGTTAGACTTTCTCCTAACTCATGGATTTATAGTGTTTTTGATATTATTCTTTTAGTTTTACTGGGCATAATAACATTGGTTCTCAAAGGAAGAAAATCTTCCTTTTGTCTATCTTCCCCATTTTCTCTATGAACTCAGTCTAACCCCATCTTTAAAAAAAAAGAGTTGAGCCATTTGTATAGTTCCTCAGTCAAGTCTTAAGTCATAATAGGAGAGAGACTTTGGAAAGTTCAATCTGAGTTATTTTTATAATATTATGTAAATCCCAAGAGGTTCTGCTCTACAAGCTGAGACTCTAAAGCATGAGTTTGAGATTCTTACTCACTCGGATTTTTATATTAACAAAGTAGCAAGAAAAACTATAGAGAATCAATCGGTTTAAAAGATTTGTAAACCTACTTTGTGTCCTACAGAGGCAGGATTTATAGTGTGACTTGGTATTAAAGGAATACATTATTATGATATAAATCACTTTTAGAAACTTAATTTGTTACAGAAATACTGTGCTTTTATTCAGAAGCCAATAATAGAGTGAACTGTGTTAAGTATGCCATATTTCTGAAAACTAAAATAATTACCAAGTGTAGAGACTGTCCATTATGAGAACATTTACTTAATTTAGGTACTTAAAGTGAGCTGTGTCCCACTGTTGCCTGGGAGAGCACTTGCTAATGTAGTTTGATGGCTAGTCTTACCTCCTAGGCCTGCTTTTTTTTGGTTTCATTTTGTTTTTTGCTGCACTGTCTTTTGTAAAACATTAGCCCTAATAAAAATTCTTTACAAAGAGTTAAGAGTAATTATATATGTACTGAAGTAAATACTTGCAGGTTTTGCTAAATGAAATTTTTGTATTAATGAAATATTTATAGTAGTAACTTTAATATCACAACAAAGTTTTTTGTTTAAAAATCTAAAGCTGGTATATGCTACTTACTGATTATAAATTAGTTATATTTTTACATTTCCTTGAAAGTTAGTTAGAACTTAAAACATATTTGTTCTATAGAAGCAATACATGGTGTTTAGGTTTTTAGATCTATCCCTAAAGATTTCTCTAAACTGGCAGCTTCTGGCTGTCTACTTCTAAAACTACAGATGTTCTTAAAACCCCAATTTTCTAGATCAGAGGTTTCTAAACATTTTTTATTATACATATACCATTAGTAAATACATTTTGAGCAAATGTGTATTTATTTACAAAGTATATATACCTACTACTACATTTATTTGTATTTATTTATAAATTATACATATATGCAATATACATATCTATAACTGTTCTAATAATATTTGATGAAAATTATGAGACATATACTACAAAAAATTCAAAGTGAGGAAGGTAAAGGATAAATATAACATAGAGGAGCTCTAATTTTTTTTTTCTTTTCAATGAGTATCTTTTGTTCCCTGGGGTCTGTATATGCTGCTTAGAGATCATGATTCAAATTTACGTCTTTCAGGAGGTTGTATCAAGGGCTTTGACACTGAGAGGATCACATAATTTGAGAAAAATATGTCAGCATTTTATTTTCTAAACCAAAGACTGTAGTGTGATAATGGCAAGAGAGAGATTAATGCTCATAAATTGAACTGAAGTTCTCAAAATTTGAGCTTATACTTTTCTGCACTATTCTTTTTTCCTGCAATAAACCTGTATAGTAGCATTCTTTGAGAATATTGTCATATGAAGTATTAAAAGTTATGAGGCAGGAAAGCAGAAGGCATATATGAGTAAGAACAAGTAATTCTATTTAGAATAATAGAGTTTACAAAGGGGAAGAGAGACAAGATTAGAAGTCTAGGCTGAAGTTAGGCGATGGATGATTGGGAATGTCAGGCTAAGAATTTTGGTATTTGTTTTTTAGGAAATGAGAAAAATCTAAAGGATTTTGGGCAGATTAAAGACATCTTTGGTTTGAACTGGACTTTCAGAAGATAAATCTAACATAAACTTATCAAATGTTTAAAAAGTAATCCCATTATTTTAACCATTTTGTATAACCTGTGTTTTATTTGAGTTGTTGAATATTTGTTTCATTCATCAAAAATGTTTCTCCAGAATATTGTTTGAATTGTACTCTCAAATTATGCAAAAATGTTTAATCAATTACTTTTACCTAATATAGATAGTTGTTGTTATGTTTTGAATTTTAGGATTTATAGTGGCAATATGAAGCACAGTTCTTTAACGGGTCCAAAACACCTATACTAAGAAGCCCTCTATCACAGTGTGCAGACAAGACTAACAAAACAACAGACAGATATGAGAGTTGAGATTTGTTAGCTATTCTAATGCTTAACACAACTCCAGCTACTATTAAACAATACTAAAAATAGAGTTATAGATTTGGAAAGTCATTTAACTGACAGGTGGCAGAGTGAGGATTCTCAGAGCTAGTATTTTTAATTCCTTCCTTTGTTCCTCACAGTAAGCTACCATATAGCTAAAGGAATTTTTAACAAGGGAGAGCTCATTGGAGATTTATAGGCATTCATGGAAGACTTAATGGAAGCAGGGAGGGGCTGAACTGGGTCCTGGAGGAAGGGGAGGTGTGCACTGCACTTGTGTTGGGATGAAGGAGAAAGAATTCCAGCTTGAAGAAATAGTATGTGTGAAAGCACGAGGTAAAAATTAGTACATAATCTGAGGAGACTGTCTTACTATGAGAATTGGTTTTGGAAAATAGTGCGAAATAAAGTTGGGTAAGAAATGATAATACCTAAACTTATGAAGCACTTTACCTGTATCAGTGAACTTAATCTTCACAATAACTCTATGAGAGAGGTAGTAAACATTATTTCTTCCATCTTGCAGGTGAGAAGACAGAGGCACAAAGAGCTTCTGTAACTTTTTCAAGTTCACACAGTAGTTGTAGAGCCAGAATCTGAACATAGGCATCAGGGGCTGGGGCTGAAGCCATATCCCTTAGCATTGTACTATGTTGTCAGAGAACAAAGGCAGATAAGTAGATGGGGAAGCTAGTCAGAAGTTTAAATGATGCTGAGGTTGATAAATTCTTGAGTAGGCAAACTCTCATGGAAATTTTAGAAGATAAAAACGGTAGTTGTAGATTGGATAATAATGATTCTCAGCAATTATTGTACAAGGGGGACCCAAAACAAAGCAGGAATTTTTTTGGAGAATGGGCCCATTGTATTACAGGCTTTCTCTGCTAGGTAAGTGTTCTGGAAATCCACTGGCATCAGAATACCTGCTGGCATTGGTATGAGAGGCTGCATTCGGCTTCAGTGAATTTTTTTTTTTTTTTTGCAATTCTTTCCATGTGTTTGCCCATTTCATGATTGGTGATTTTTACTAGTGCACCTGCCCACACCAAGCTGAGTGTTCAACAGTTTTTGACAAAAAATGGCAGCCCCCTGTGCCCCACTCTCCCTACACTCATTTTTCTACCCAAGCAACTTTTTTTTGTTTCCCTGGATGAAAAAAGTCCTCAAAGGGAAACATTGTGCTGATGTAGAAGAGGTGAAACAAAAATGGCAGAAGCACTAAAAGGCATCAAAGTTAATGAGTTCTAAAACTGTTTTGAGCCATGGAAAAAGCATCTTTATAGGTGTATTGCATCAAATGGAGAATACTTTGAAGGTGAATGAAGTTTAAATATGTAAGAATAAATGCACAATTTTTAATAAATAAGTTCTGTTTTTTTGTGTGTCTCCCTCCTCGTACGTTAGATTTTCCTGGAGAGGCTCTAGAAAACAAATAATGATACTCTCAGGTACCATTCCAGACCAACTAAATCAAAATTTACTTTGGGTACCTCTGAGCACTATTCTTTTAAAAAGCTACCCAGGTTTCTCTAAAATGCACACTATTGGTCTAGGGAGTCAGAAATCTGCCAGGACCTTATTACTGAAGTAATTCAAGTTTGAAATGATGAATTAGAACTAAGATTTTGATAATACCACAACATTATGGAATTTTTTTGAGATAGAGTAAATCTCGTAGTCTTACTATCCAGCCATCTTCTCCAGTTCTCCGGTGTAAGAGCTTCTAAAAGTCTCTGGAATTAGGGAATATCTTAGCTTGGATTGCTATAACAAATCAGCATAGATTGGGTGACTTAAAGAATACGTCATTTCTTTTCGTTTTTCACAGTTCTAGAGTCCAGGAAGCCCAAGACCAAGATTTTGGCATAGAGGGTGTCTGGCAAGGGCCTGCTTCCTATTGTTCCGTCGGTCATCTTCTCATTATATCCTCACGTGGCAAAGAGCAGAGAGAGAAGAAGCACACTCTCTTGTGTCTTTTTATATGGTACTGATCCCATTCATTAGGACTCCACCCTCATGACCTGGTCACCTCCCAAACCCCCCCTTAATACAACTACATTGGGGGTTAGGATTTCAACATAAGAATGATAGGGGTCATTAACATTGAATTGTGCTCTCAAAGGTTTGAAGGTTTTTGTTAATTATCAACAAAAGTCAAAAGTGTAGTCCAGCCATAGTCCCAAATTACCATACTTCTGTATTATACTGGATGTAGAAAAACATGTTTTTTTGTCTGCTATTAATGTTATTAAATGATGATCATTTGGGTTCAGTTAAAATTTAATTTCAGATAATATGACACTTCTGACTTTTTCATTGTAATATGACAAGTAATTCCATTTTCGTTGTAATATGACAAGTAATTCCAAAAGTCATTTAGGAGAAATGAAAGTGTAAGGAAAATATGTTTTGTAGCGTTCATTTATTAATAAGTGTGTTTTACATATGAGTGATGTGACCTGAGTTTTAGAAGTATTTTACCTAGCCTTAGTTCAGCATAGTTTTTGTTGCCTTTTTTCTTCCAACAGAGGGCACTCCAATTCAGTAATTTAAAATACAAAATTGGCCATCTTATGTAAGAAATTTTATTTTTGAATCAGAGATTTTTGGTTTTGTTAAAATATTAGCTGTAAGGTGGTAGCTTGAACAGTTTTACTAATGTAATTTAAAAATTAAATTCTTATTATGATTGAATGTATTTAATTTGGAGCTTTTACTTTTATTGGAAAGGCCAGCTTGAGTTAAAATTACATTTTCTCTTGCATATGTTTTAATTCAAAAGTCAGTCTGTTTTAAATGCTCTTATAATACGCATATGAAACCATTTTCTAAGTTGAATTATGACATTATATAATCTAGAATGTAAATTTTGAAAAAATAAAAATACCCTAACATTCTTTACCAATCCATGAAATACAAGTTTTTAAAAGAATATGAAATATTCTGAAAAAAATTCTCTTTTATTAATTTTTCCCCAACTCTTATATTCAATTTTTACCTCGTGTGTATAAACAATATATACAATTCTTAAGTATGAGTACATCATGCATGCCATAGATAAATTTGATGATAATAACTTAAAAACCATTAGAGCAGATTTTAGAATCCAGGTATTATGAAAACTTTTTTTTTAGATTTAAAATAGAAAAAGCATTATTACCTCATCAGCTTGTGTCTAGTAAATAAATAAGAATCTTGAAAGATGAACTG